AAAGGGCGCTATATTCTTGCATATGTACATGTTTGGACTTAAATGCCTATTTGTAAACATGCGGATACAGATGTTTGCTTCTTATGCCATTTTGAAACTCCACCTTTATTTAATTATTGGGCTGCTGTACCTCCTGTCTGGATTTCGACGTTTCGTTCGATCACTTTGGATTTTCGGTCGCTTACTAGGCTTCAAAATTTAGGCCCTTAGCATCACTGACGAGTCCTGGAAGGCGAAACAGCTGTATGATGTAGCATCAATGACGAGTTAACATCACTGACGAGTCCTAGAAGGACGAAACAGCTGTATGATGTAGCATCACTGACGAGTCCTAGAAGGACGAAACAGCTGTATGATGTAGCATCACTGAAACACGATGTAGCATCACTGAAGTCCTAGAAGGACGAAACAGCTGTATGATGTAGCATCACTGACGAGTCCCTGAAGGACGAAACCGCTGTATGATGTAGCATCACTGACGAGTCCTAGAAGGACGAAACCGCTGTATGATGTAGCATCACTGACGAGTCCTAGAAGGACGAAACAGATGTGTGATGTAACATCACTGACGAGTCCTAGAAGGACGAAACAGCTGTATGATGTAGCATCACTGACGAGTCCTAGAAGGACGAAACAGCTGTATGATGTAGCATCAATGACGAGTTAACATCACTGACGAGTCCTAGAAGGACGAAACAGCTGTATGATGTAGCATCACTGACGAGTCCTAGAAGGACGAAACAGATGTGTGATGTAACATCACTGACGAGTCCTAGAAGGACGAAACACCTGAATGATGTAGCATCACTGACGAGTCCTAGAAGGACGAAACAGCTGTATGATGTAGCATCACTGACGAGTCCTAGAAGGACGAAACAGCTGTATGATGTAGCATCACTGACGAGTCCTAGAAGGACGAAACAGCTGTATGATGTAGCATCACTGACGAGTCCTAGAAGGACGAAACAGCTGTATGATGTAGCATCACTGACGAGTCCCTGAAGGACGAAACCGCTGTATGATGTAGCATCACTGACGAGTCCTAGAAGGACGAAACAGCTGTATGATGTAGCATCACTGACGAGTCCTAGAAGGACGAAACAGCTGTATGATGTAGCATCACTGACGAGTCCTAGAAGGACGAAACAGCTACATGATGTAGCATCACTGACAAGGCTTAAAAGGACGAAACAGCTGTATGATGTAGCATCACTGACGAGTCCTAGAAGGACGAAACAGCTGTATGATGCAGTGTAATTTATTTTTTGGCTTTACAGTATCTAACTAAATTAATAAAACGTGTTATTTACTTACGTGTCGTTTTTGCAATCCTCTAATATTTCTTTTAGTTTACTGAAGTTATAAGTTATGGAAATAGGTCTTTATTTCTTCCTCTCATTAGGTCAATTGTTTCCCCACTAGATATTATTAATATTTGCAACAGGTATATCAAGGGCAGCACGAAGATTTCATTCCCAACACCATCATGGCAAGGTGGTTTATGAGAATGGAAAATGTAATTTGATCAAGCACATCCTATACAGTATGGTGGGTATTTGTTAGTGAGTAGCGGGTTTTGAGCTGTGTGGTTTGAGATAATTCAAGGTCACGAGAAGGCGTCGAAATCGTTAAGAATGTAGACCTTGCCAGTAGAGGGATGCATTATTTGGTTTTTAAATTGAAGATTCGGAATAGAAAATCGTTAAGAATGTAGACCTTGCCAGTAGAGGGATGCATTATTTGGTTTTTAAATTGAAGATTCGGAATAGAAAACGGTTCATTCGTAAAGGTAATACTATATTTTGATATTACTCACTATTATTCTGTTTTCAACATTTATGCTATAGTTTGTCTTTGCCTTACGAATGAAGTCAATAGTTTCATTCCGAAGATTCCGATATCATACCCAATAATACGCACTCTGTATAGGTTTTTGTGTATCATATTCCTCATCTGCATGTGTATTCATCAATGGTTTGTCATTTGGACGCACAGCTATCATTTTTGAAAAATAAAATTATTGACTTGATCAGTAATTACATTAACTATAATACTGTTTTGTATTTTCTTTATTTTTCAAGGATTTTTTTTTCAAATACACTAGAAGTATAGTATCAATACAGCACACAAACTCACACACGTGGTACATAATTATACATATTGTAAACATATAATTACGTTTTGGTTAGTAGTAAAAATCAACGGACTATCAAGTTAGCGGTGTTTACTTCTGTTTTATTGATGATTATTTCATGGTATGTTTAACATCAGTTTCTCGGGTATCGTCTAATTTAGCCCAGTAGTCCTCATTAATGTCTGGTCTATATAAACTTCAAGAGGACAACTATGATTACAAATTAATACCTCAAACAGTTACAGTTCCAACATTATCCCTCTTCAAGTCGATTCGCCTATTCATAACTACTATGTCCATGTGTTACTCTCCTTTTCCAACACACACACACAACCACCCGTAGCTTTATCGTTTCCGTTTCTATGATGGTTGAAATCGAAAGAATGTGTATGAATACCTGAGTTTGAACTTACCAAACTTTTTGTTTTTTGAGAGATCGCACATTTAGGTAAGTTTTTTTTAAAAATTTGAACTGGACCGGGATTACTTTCAATATCACCACTAAACGATAAGCTAACAAATCGGGAAATAAATTTTTAAAAAATTATATAAAAATATGCAAGCTTAATATCAAAAAAACAATTGATATAAGCAAACAGAATATAATGGACGGAAACGTAATACACGTGCCAACTACAAAAACGCAATACACGTGCCAACTAGAAATCACGCAATACACGTGCCAACTACAAACACGCAATATACGTGCCAACTACAAAAGCGCAATACACGTGCCAACTACAAAAGCACAATACACGTGCCAACTACAAAAACGCAATACACGTGCCAACTACAAACACGCAACATACGTGCCTACTACAAAAGCGCAATACACGTGCAAACTACAAAATCGTAATACACGTGCAAACTACAAAAACGTAATATCCATGCCAACTACAATCAAACGCTTTTCTAAAGTCTAAAAATACAACACCATTTATATTACCTTGATCAACTTCCTGTGTCCATGAGTTAGCAATATTCAATAAGGCAGTTTCACAGGAGAGATCTGTTTTTAAAACCAAATTGAGAGGACACGAACAGGTTATTTGCACATAGATATTTGTAAAATTCACAGTGTACATGCTTCTCAAGAATCTTAGATAATGCATTTAAGACAGATATGGGTCTAAAATTGGACACATCTGATTTAGATGCCCTTTTTTGAATTGGTAAAACTTCCAATCACTAGGGAACTTACCAGACTTAATACTCAGGTTCCAAATATATGTAAGAGGCCTAGAAACAGGATCATATGCTAATTTGAGTACTATTAAATTAATTCTATCTAGACTAACGGACTTATGGTCGTCAAAATATTTAAGAAAGTTTTGGACAAATTTATCAGTAATTAGTAGGATAGAAAATATAAGTTTCACAAAATTTGACGAAACTTTAGAAAGGGATTCTGTTAATATACTAGCAATAGTAGAGAAATAATATTTTTAAGTTTCCGCTATTTCACATTTGTCAAATGTTTCACAATTTCCGTTTAGGACCATTCCTGGATTCGTAACAATTATACAGACTGAGCTTGTGATGTTTCATATGACCACTGAGAATAGTATACTTCAATACAAACAACAATGACATCACCATGAAAAATACTTAGTTTGTAAAAAAATAAAAGCAACTTATATTCATGTCTATTTTGATCTCTCTCTCTCTCTCTCTCTCTCTCTCTCTCTCTCTCTCTCTCTCTCTCTCTCTCTCTCTCTCTCTCTCTCTCTCAAAAGTGTAAAACTGTCGCAAAATTCTAATGACAACACTGCTTCGTTATTTTCGTTTATTTGGAACAAATCAGATTGTTATGCATTGAGATCTTATCCAGAAGTGATATGGCTCTCAATAAGATATCACAAATGATGTGTCTAGTTCTCAATCAGATATCACAAACGACATGTCTAGCTCTCAATAAGATATCACAAACGACATGTCTAGCTCTCAATAAGATATCACAAATAATGTGCCTAGTTCTCAATCAGATATAACAAACGACATGTCTAGCTCTCAATAAGATATCACAAACGACGCGTCTAGCTCTCAATAAGATATCACAAACGACGTGTCTAGCTTTCAATCAGATATCATAAACGATGTGTCTAGCTTTCAATCAGATATCACAAGCCACGTGTCTAGCTTTCAATCAGATGTCACAAACGACGTGTCTAGCTCTCAATTAGATATCACAAACGACATGTCTAGCTTTCAATCAGATGTCACAAACGATGTGTCTAGCTCTCAATTAGATATCACAAGCCACGTGTCTAGAGCTTTTTTGTTTGTCTTGGGTTTGTTTCGTTTTCAGAAATTTTAAATGGCTGACATTGTGCTTGTAATAAATTCCATATGTGGAGAATAAGATCAACGTCTAAGAAAGCAGACAACTTTGTCATCTCATATGTCTGGCACTACTAGGGATTTTGTGACAAATTACATGTGTGATATCTGATTTTTGATGTCACAATTCTATAGCATGAATGCCTCTCTTAACGAATTCGATTCTGTCAATATATTGATACCGAAACTGACCGGCGGCCATTTTTATTTATCTGGGAGATATATACAAATAGCTTGGGTTTATTCCAACGTTAACATACTGAATCGCTGTAAATTGTGGTTCAACGTCTTGGTATACTACAATTGAGTATATAAATGACATATGAACAGCACATAATGTAAATGTAATTATGATATTCCGGTATATTGCTACCACATGTTGGTAACGTAAATATAACATTCTACTATCTTACAACGGAACATTGCTGTCCACTTTTCATGCATCTATAATGAGAATGTGAACTAGATCACTGCCGAATGAGGAGAACATTTTTACCAAGGAAATTAGAACCGAAGTCGGTCACGGTTATCTTTCACTGTAATACGTTGGTGGAAGTTTTGAATATCCAAACAGCAGAAAATCTAAATAATACACTTTTTGTAATTTAGCAATCGTCTGCCACCTGATGTCACGGTAAGCTTCCGAGAGAAACTTAAGCCTCTGCAGACGTCGATTCACTTTCGATAACGGTTTAGACTTTGTCACTTGTAAAATGGCAGACGTTATATTATGTGCCTCGCGCGCAACAAATGAAAATTGTGAAAATATATGCTCTGGAAAGTCTAATCCAGAATTCACTAATCCTTGAATCGCAAAAGTTTTCCACATTTTTGCCATAAAAATCATTTTGTTTGGACAGTCTTGTCGATTGTTGTTGTAGTCAAAAAGGTGTGAAGACACCAGGGTAAAAACAGACGCATATTTCGACGTCATCGACTTGCGCATAGCATCCAATCTGCTGCTGGTGACATTATTTGTCAACCTTAATACTTCTTCTGCACCCTGTGTAAGGTTCTCCTGCCGACAAACCAGATCATACTTTATATTACAAACGTCACAAAGTTGAGCTACGGGAACCATGTGTTCGTTCATTTCCACCATGTTTTCAGCTAGATAAACAACATAGTCTAGAAATTCTTGAAATGTTACATCATATCCACAATAGTCTTCGTTTTCTTCTTTAAAGCCACGCTTGAGATGGGTTGCTATTTCCCTACCAAGACGTCCGAGTAGAAAATATTTATCAATGAATGTAGAATACAACCTTGAAAACGGGTCACGTGTAACCATGACAGTCAGCGCGGATTCCTTGATCACCTTGGCCGTCATCGGACCGAAAACTTCGTTCAAGCCATTGTGGATCTCATTTCGTCCCAGTAAAAACATGTCGAAAACCTCGTTATCACTTTTCCGTGTCAGTGCCCTGACCAATGCACCCAAAAGAGTACTTCCGGCTTTAGGAGATTTACACGCGAGCAGCCCATTGTATTTAGAGTAGAAGAAAACAGGCGTCCTTGCTTTGATATATGTTGCATGCGAGTCAATATGGTTACACATGTCACGGATGTAGTAAGCATTCCACAACGAATTGGTTTCTATCTTCTTGTTCTGTCCGCGTGACATGGTTTCATTTATTTGTAAATTCGGTTTTCCATCTGTTGATCCAAATTGTTTACCGGTCTCTTCCTCATCTAACTTAATGCTTTGTAGTCCAAATGAAAGTTGTTTTCCAAGTGGTGCTGGAATAAAAAGTAATAAGTTTAGATAGTGCTTACAGAATCCCTTTATTGATGCTTGCTGAGGAATTGATTCGTCATCATAGGTAAACCATTCAGGATTAATCCTTTATCTAATTAGTCGATGCAGATTGTAATTTTCTTACATTACATGTTTTAAACATCATCTCAAATTTGAGTAATAATTTTGTAGATGTTGGATTTTATTACCTGATACTGTATTAGACATGAGCCCAAGTCCGTCTTCGTGTCGCGGTTGCTTGTCATCTGAAATAAAAAGCACAATGACTAAAAACTGAAATTCTAATCGTGTGAAGAGAGCTGGAGTTCTGACGTGTGCACCCGTGTTTTTGATCAGTTTCCTATTTATCAACATATGTGACAATTCACCGTCCGACATAATGGATTCCTTGACCGTTTCATGCATTATATTTTTATATTTGTTTGAAATAGAATAAGCTGCATACCGAAACAAGCTATAAAAGAAAACTGAAGAATCATATCGTGAGAGTTTAAATGACTATTTCTGAACTTTTGAAAATATTAAACACTGGACTTGGAGCGGGAGATAAACACAGATTACCATGAGAATGTGTGGAGATCAGAATAATGTGTGGATATCAAAAGAATGTGTGGATATCAAGAGAATGTGTTGACATCAAGAGAATGTGTGGACATCAAGAGAATGTGTGGATATAAAGAGAATGTGTGGATATCAAGAGAATGTGTAGATATAAAGAGAATGTGCGGATGTCAGGAACATGTGTGGATATCAGGAGAATGTGTGTATATTTATGTTATTAAACAAATACTTGTTAACAAAACTTTAATAAGAAACTTGAAGGCTTCTAACATAATCAATTTTGTGTTGAAGTGTGTAATGTTGTGATGTATTTATTTTGATCTAATGTAACAGTCATTAAACGGCTTTAAAGTATAGTTCTTGCTCTGAAGTATGTATCATTTCTTGTCGATTCAAATGTAACAATGCAATACTATGACGTAAACTTTTATATTTCAACACCTTTATATCAACGTAAGGTTTAGATGTACAAATTCAAACACATTTACATCAACGTAAAGTTTAGATGTACAGATTCAAACACATTTACATCAACGTAAGGTTTAGATGTACAAATTTAAACACATTTACATCAACGTAAGGTTTATATGTACAAATTTAAACACATTTACATCAACGTAAGGTTTAGATGTACAAATTTAAACACGTTTACATCAACGTAAGGTTTAGATGTACAAATTTAAACACGTTTACATCAACGTAAGGTTTAGATGTACAAATTTAAACACATTTACATCAACGTGGGAGAGAGATATGTTTTCACTGAACATACCAGTCACATGTTATTTGCTCCTGATGTTTTGGTATACTACACAAGGCAGAAGAAGAACTCAGTGATAAAATATATACCACAGTGTGCAGAAAGTTGTGATGGACACTTCTGTAAAAGCATTTTGAAGAAAACCAATTTTGTTAAAAAGATATTTGACAAAAATGATATTCTCCATTGTTTCATATTGGTGTGAGTAGAAATCATCAGTGGCCAGGGAGTTTACCTGTTTGTCTTACCTGTGTTGGCACACTCTACCTGTACAGTGATTATTCTTAGGGACAATGAGTTTCACACAAACCAGAGCTACTAAAAATAAGGAGAAGGACAAATCACAAATGAGACTTAGCCTGGAACCTAACACAGACATTTTAATGAAGGAAATCAGTGAGCTTAGGAAGGAAATACAGGATTTGAAAACTAGTTGTTACCAGAACCCTATCAGTGTGAAAGACATACAAGATGCAGTTGATAAAGCATTGGATATAGCCATGAAAAAGACAATGAGAATTATGAAAGATGAAATTAAGGAGGACATAGTGTCAGAAGTCAAACTTCATGTCGAGAATAGTACCAATGATATTGGTGAACATCTATCCAGTGTGGAGTTGGATGTAGCAAACCTGAAGGAGGAGGTTGAGAAACGGGATAGTACTATAGTTGAGTTGAAGGATGTCTTAGTGGTACAGCAGAGGAGGTTAAACAAAGCCTTAGACACAGCTAACCGTAATGAGCAGTATTCCAGGAAAAACAACATCCGGATAAGAGGGCTCTCAGAATGTAGAGGTGAAAACCTGAGAGAGGAGTTACCAAGGAAAATCCTGGAAGTGACCGGTGTGAAATTGAATGGTTATTATGACATCGTTGCAGTACATCGTATTCCCAGTGGATCAAGGTCACCTCGACCAATCATTGTGAAGTTCTTAAACAGTGACATTAACCTTGTGACAAAAAACAAACAGTCATTACGTAAAGCTGGACTATACATAGCTGAGGACATTACCAGCGAAAACTTTCTACTCATGGACAAAGTACGGGCTTGTGACAAAATTGAGTACAGCTGGTATTATAACTGTAATGTGTATGGTCTCTGTGTTGAAACAAAACAACGAGTGAAATTCAGTTTGTTTGATGACATTGACTGCATTGTGAATGAACACATCCAGAGTGTTAATATGAATACAAATACATACGTGGGACAAAAAATAACACAATAGTAATAGATTATTTGTATATTTGTATGTGTGGTGTAGCAATGTATGAGACTGACCTTTGAACTGTCTCTTACATGATACACGGATTGTATTTTCTGTTGAGAGAGGTAAGTCAATGATCAAATCACTGTTTGTTAACATACACTTTGTTCAAGTGATTTTTTTTTCTCTTTTTTTTTTTTTTTTTTTTTGTATATATGAAACTCAATTATTTTTTGTCAAAATTTGCAAGAATTTATGTTGTAATACAGTTGCTGAGTGCACATGACCAAATATCAAGTTTCAGTTTAAAATTATATGACACTCATATCAAGTAGATCAAATATTGCAGATTCTTCATAAGCTCCATTGTTTTCAGTGTGATTCCATTTCTTTTTCCATGTAGTAATAAGAAGTCGTGATCATAACATTAAATTATTTATACTAGATGTTTTACCAACATTTGCAATTTGATATCGTGATTCCTGCTACATTTCTACCACTGACAGGGAAACAAATGCAAAACCTTACAATAATCTCAAACTGTAAAAAAAAAAATAAATAAAAAATAAATAAAAATAAAAATAAAAATGTATAGTATACTATATATATAATTATATATATAAAGCAGTTTAACTATATATATATATTTTCTTTATATATATATTTACCTATCCTATGAATGTTTGTCAAAAAAAAAAAAAAAAATAGAAAGTTTTTCCATAATGTTATTTTTATGGATAACACATGTTGTACAACCATGCAGTATTATAAGATAATGAAACAGTAAGGTGGTACTATAAACATGTGTTTGTTAATCATGAGTACCATTGATAAGACAGTGATTATGAGTAAATTCTGTTTTATATTCAATGTAATTATATAAGTTCGAGTGATATATGTTTCAGTAATACAATAAAGATTTTGAACCCCAGTATGAATGTATCTGTAACCTCGATACCTACATGTAGCATGGATGACTAGCCTGTGGTTTTGTATCTGGTATCAGTGTTTATTGTTGATGATGTGCCTTTTCAATAATATAAACAATAATTATCATAGTATTCTGATTTTCTAAGTCATTATCATATATTGGATAATCTCAATTTTGATGATAATTTATTTTGTACTGAAGATATTGTTGTCCAAACATATATCTATTTTCACTATTCATATGGAGTCACAATATTTTAATTAGCCTATACTACTTATTGTATAAAAATGGATTTTCAATCTTCTGATACTTATCTGAATCCAATTTTGCCTTGTGTAGAGGACCAAAATATTAGGAACGCTCAAAATGTCTGGTATGCCAGTCCAAATATGGATTTTATGTGTACTTTTGGGGGGAATTCTGGAATTATGGTATGTACTACTGCCTACAAGCAATGTTTATAAGCAGATCAGCCCAAAAGTTACAAAGTGTGTTAATGACTCTCCTGGTGGTGTCATGTTATTTTGTGTTGAGTCTCTAGTAAGGGTTCTCTGTTTTAAATCAATTTCTTTATTGTCAGTTAGGAAAGAATATAAAAGTTTTGGGGTATGTGGTACTATCAGGATCAGTATTCTCCCTCCTAAACCTTATACTCTAACTAGCTTCTGTCTCTGTTTCTATCCCCTACAGCCTTTCTCTATTTCTTCTGTTGTGTTAATATACCCTTTGTCTATCTTCTTTCTTCTCACCCAAGCATCCATGGAAGGAACATCTAATAAGTTAAACATTAAGTATAGGTGAAGGGGTAAAGTTCTTATCAGCCAATTGTCAGGGTTTAGGTGACAAAATGAAACGTAAAGATGTATTCGCATATCTAAGAAGTAAAAAAATTAATCTGTATTGTCTCCAAGACACACACTTTACAAATAATAATGAGGAATTAATAAGAAATGAATGGGGCTATTCCTGCTACTTTAGTTCTTTTTAATCAAACGCTAGGGGTGTTGCTATTCTATTTAACAATAATTTTGAAGTAAAAGTAATTAAAGAGAAAAGAGATATATATGGGAACTTTTTAGCACTTAACTTAGAAATTGAGGGTACTAATTTGACAGTAATGTCTATTTATGGTCCTAATAATGGTGATCCTTCTTTTTTTGAGTTGATAGAAGAAACAATGTATGAGTTTAAGACCGATAAGTGTATAGTATGTGGCGACTTCAACCTGATCCTGAATCCCGAGCTAGATTATGACAAATCTTACAAAAGGGTAAACAATCCAAAGTCCAGAGAAAAAATACTAGAGATT